TTTATATTTTTCGCACAAGAACTATAGATGATTGTGATATTTTATGTATGAATTAATTTAATTTTTCAATCAAATCAGTTTTAATTTTATTATTTAAGATGATTTAAATTCATTAAATCAATAAATGTTTAAAATGGTATTTACTGAATTTATGTTTAAAAATATCTTTTTGTCATGCATTTACAATAACAACCAATTAGCCATGGCACTTAAAAAATATAGCTGGATTTTTCTAATTCTATTATGCAGTATTTTTGTCTGAATATAATCTTTAATCATATATAAATTATTAAAGTATAATTTTATTAAAAAATATGATGAAATAAAAATTATAAAATTAATATTAGGTTAAAAAGGTTATTTCAAAATATTAAAAATGTTACTTCATAACAATTTCTTTTATAAAAAGTATAAACTCTTCATGAACAAATATTAAAATTCTGATTAATTAGTTTCCAAAAAATTATGACTTTTTTGAACTTTTACTGTACATAAATATAAAATAATAGTGTTAGTACACGTGTATTAAAATATCTATCTATTTATGTTTATAAATAGAGATACAGTGCAGGGACCAGTGACATATCATTAATACTTTGTTGACTTGAATGGATTTAGGAGAGAGTGATTGAATGAATTTGAAAGGATTTGAAAGCAAATCTTTTGTTGTTTATTTGAGTGAATTTTGGAGGTAAGTAAGAGTGGATTTTAAAGTAAAGTTTGTGAGAATTAGTGTAGGATTTGATTGATGTGATAGATTAAAAAAAATTATTTCCAAATTCACTCTCATTTACCTCCAAAATCCACTCAAATAAACAACAAAAAATCTACCTTCAAATCCTTTTTCCATTCAATCACTCTCCCCCAAATCCATTCAAGTGAACAAAGCCTAAGGGATTGAGACTGCCGTTAATTTGACTTAGTCCATAAAACTTAGTTTTATTCAACATGGATTCAGTTAAAATAGTCTTCTGCTGAAGAAAGTTTACATAATCAAAAGCTCCATAAAAGTTTAATAGGGACTATGAATTTTATTTTAAAATTTTCGGTATAATTGAGTTTATTTCGAACTCAAATCATCATGATTAACTTTGAGTTTGAACATGTTTATTTCGATTTTTGATTCAAGTCAATCCGTTTCAAACTTCCGTACAAGTTATCCTTTGACTTTTGATCTAAGTCAGATTGACTAAGTCAAATTCCGTCAAATTTCAATCAACACAGGTTCAGCTGAATTCGGCCAAATTTTTGTATTAAGCTAGCTAGTCTTGACAATCAACCTAGATCGGCCCATCTCGATCTTCGACATTGGTTTGATCCGTCTTCACCTTCGACCTTGGCCAACTCCTCTTGAACTTTGACCTGAGTTGACTCGTCTTGACCTTTGGCTCGAGTCGACTCATCTCGACCTTCAACCTGTTAGAATTCCAAGTGTGAGTCTAAGTCCCACATTGGATACAAATGATTAAGTAAAACACTATATAAAGGTTTTGGATAGAGAATAATGTCAATCCCTTATGTGATTGAGCTAAGGTCTCATTAGTGTTGTGTCTCCCTAGTGAACCTTGTAAGATAAGATTGTCTATAAGACTGAACTGTTTAAACATCTTCATATGTTTTGAAGTTTAACAGACAACAATAAACGAAATGAACATATGACAAAGTGTTATTTTTGAAAAAGTAATATAGCTAAAAGTCCTATCAAATGTGTCAATGANTCATCCCTTATCATGAACCTTTTCCAGAAAATAATGCTACTCTGTATCTAGTCTCTTAGCGCAAGGTTAGGTCCAAAATTATTATTTAAAATTTAGATGGTTTCTTGAAAGAAGCAATCATTGACACATTGAAGAAAACAAGAAAAAATGCTATGTTTTCTAATGCTTTTGGGAACTGATATTAGAAATCTAAAAACCCTTTTTCTCACCTACTATAATCAATAAAATCTACTAAGTCTTAAAGTAGATTGGATAAGTAGTTAAAGATCTAGAACAAACTCCAACCTTCTCCATGGGTGGGTTCAAGTACCCTTGGCACCACTTTCCCCGTTGGTGAGTAGGAGTAACCCTCCTCAGGGAGACTCTATCCTTAGAAACTAGTTGAATAGTTGCACTGCAAATAAAATTTCTTGCAGTTTATACCTGTGTGGTAATCCTCTTGGTGAACCTCTATTTACTGTTCCAACATGTCATTGGCGTCCTCTCCCATAATATTGGGATGCATCTCCCTTCTACCAATTTATTGGAATCAAAGAAAGCAACAAAAAAGAACAAATTGGAACACTCATGAATGCCTGATTCCATCTTAGAGTAACTTTTGAGCTTGGGGATTTGAATTCCTTTTAACTAACAATCAAGTAGGTATAACTAATCAGACTTCCATACATACTAATCATTATGGTAATTGGCAACTTTTTATTATTATTATTATGTTAAAAAAATTAAAAATAAAAAAACAGATGAATCAAGAAACCCTAGAGTAAGAAGAAATTCAGAGGTAAGAAAGACTAACCAGCCAGAGAGAATTCTAGAAGAGTGAGTGAGTGAGGTTAGCGAAAAGCTAGTCAGTATAGAACGAAGTTTGAGCGTTTTGAACGGGCCGAGTTCATTTTCATGTTATAACTCAATAATATATATAATTTTTTATTAATTACTAAAAAGATGATAAAAGAATTATTTTTGGGAGAAATAGAAGACGAGTGATAATCTTTGAAAAAACAAATCCTAGATAATTATTACATATTAGATTATTTAATTTGAATCCGATTAGATATAAAAGTAATTCTAATATAATAGAATAATTACCTCTTTATATTTTTCGCACAAGAACTATAGATGATTGTGATATTTTATGTATGAATTAATTTAATTTTTCAATCAAATCAGTTTTAATTTTATTATTTAAGATGATTTAAATTCATTAAATCAATAAATGTTTAAAATGGTATTTACTGAATTTATGTTTAAAAATATCTTTTTGTCATGCATTTACAATAACAACCAATTAGCCATGGCACTTAAAAAATATAGCTGGATTTTTCTAATTCTATTATGCAGTATTTTTGTCTGAATATAATCTTTAATC